AAGAGAAGGACTGTGTCCTGTATTTTACAAATTGCTCAGTCTGATTACCTTGTACTTGTCGCCTTCGTTTTTCGATTGCAGAAACTGTTTACTCATCTCCTGGGTAAGTACAGACACAGGATTATCCACCTGCAATAACAAACTTATGTTAATATTTTTTAAAGGTTACCTGTAGAAGAAGAAGAAGAGATTGGATTTATACCCCGCCCTTCACTTGGAGTCTCAGAGCGGCTTACAAACTCCTTTCCCTTCCCCTCTCCACAACAGACACCCTGTGAGGTAGGTGGGGCTGAGAGAGCTCTGACAGACTGCTCTTTTTCAAGGACAGCTGTGCCAGAGCTTGTGACTGACCCAAGGTCACATCAGCAGGTGCAAGTGGAGGAGTGGGGAATCAAACCCGGTTCTCCCAGATTAGAGTCCACACACTTAACCACTACACCAAACTGGCTCTCCAAGTTAATACTGTAAAGTTAATATGTTCATTAACTTTTGGGGAATGTCACCCAATGTTACCATGCAGGATGAATCATTCCTACAGCTGCTGGAGTAGAAAGTATCTTGAGGTTATGCAACAGGCAACTAATTTTTAGTGAAACAATACATTTCCACAAACAAGCTTGCAAAAACCTTATCTTCATGCACTATTATTAATTTATTTTCAACCTTCAGAGATACTAATAATCTGGTCCTTACAGCAGGAAACCAGAAGATCTTTTAGATGTTAGGGGACTTGATAAAATTTAAGCAGTAGTTTCACATAGGCGGATAACCCAGAGAATTGCACAAACTGCATACTCAGCAGGGCTTTCGACATTTGTTTTTAAACACCATCCCCTTGTGATACACGAGAAGTTGCTTCTGAGGACCAAGAACTTTAAAGAAAGAAAAGAATTTTAAAAAGAAATAAAATAATTTTAAAAACCAGCCATTCTGCCTAACCATTAAAACAACAACAATTAAATAACATGTGCATCATATTATACCAAGTACAATTAAAACATTTCTTTGGTTACCTGGATGTTAAAGTGATCCAGAATTGCAGTAAGTTCTTCCTTCTTAGAAGAAATTAATGCACCTGAACATTAAAAATAATACAAAAACTATCAGAAAACTAAACACAAAAACATTCCTGAGTATATAATACGGTCTTTCTTGCTTTCTCAGGAGAGAGCAATTTCTCTCAGTTTCCCTTCCTCACTGCAGCACACTGAGTGGGAAGTGAATGGACTGCTGGAGGGAGGGGAAAACAGGAAAGATGTATGGTTCTTACACCAGTAAGCAAATAAATAAATAAAAGTATATAATTGGAAAGTTGTAAATATGAAGATCCTAGACAAAAACAAATTACATTATATTTTAATGCAGAGCACAGCTTCTCACACTGTGTTCCTTAAGAAAAAGTTGTCTGAGCATGCCCAAGTGATATTTTTGGTGGCGGCTCCTACCTGGTGGAAGAGATCCGGGCCCTGCGGGACCTCTCTCAGTTCCGCAGGGCCTGCAAGACGGAGCTCTTCCGCCAGGCCTTTGAGTAGGAGCCGCCACCACCATTATTCCATCTTCATCCCCTATGCACTGCGTTTGAACATCATGACTGCCTGGCCCCCATCGGGGGAGCGAGGCGCCTGGACACGGTTTTAGTTGACAAGACCTTAGAAAGTACTTGTAGGAGTTAAGAGCTATCCATCTCGGCCCAATTTGTTTGTAAATTTTTATTCTGTTTTATTGTAATTTATTGTTCTAATTATGTATTATTGTTTTAACCTTGGCACATGGTGCCCTTGTGAGCCGCCCTGAGCCTTCGGGGTAGGGCGAGATATAAATTCAAATATAAATAAATAAATAAATTTAGATAAATCAGGTAATAAAATCAGACCAAATGTCCTCTTATGAAGGAATCTACTATGCCCAAGTGAACGTTGTATAACATAGTCTGAATCCTAGGAACATACCAACACCAGCTGACACTCCCTGAGCACCCCTGACAAATCTGCTGCCAGCACCAATCATTACACTGGTGAACAACAATGCTTTCACATTAGCCAAACATGGAAGAAAATGACATGAAGGCATGGTAGAAATGTCAAGTGATGTCATTCATGCCCGCCCAAATTCAAGGAATAAACATGCTGCCAGGGAATTCACTGTACTTTCTTTGTAAGAGGTCTCCAAGACCCACGGGTAGGAGGCCAGCAACTGAAGCATGCAGGCAGCGGCTCTCCAAAATCCTGCAAGCAACCCTCTGCCAGAGAAGAAGCCAATGCTAACCAGGAAAGAAGGATGGACATCCATCCCAATCACAGCAGCCAGCCAGCTCCTTAGACCTTGTGGGTAACAGGATCCCAGTATGTAAACCTTCAAGCCCACCAGAGGGATTCACCTTCTGCTATGGAAACAATGATTCCCACAGTGTTCAGAATATTCAACAGAAAACATGTATTATCGGGGGGGGGGAGCTTTTTGTGAGGGAAGCAATGGGAGCCATGTGAACAAGGAAATGTAACAACTGCAATGGCAGGCAGGCCTGTGAGTTGCCAGATAACTCAATGTAAAAGGTGCAGCGGAACAGGAGCTCAGCCAAAGTGATGATTCTCAGCTGTGACATAAACCCTCTCCTCTCCCTGAACACACATTTTTAGCTCATCCTTCCCTCCAAGTTCAGGGCAATACACATGGTCCTCCATTCCTTCCTATGATTCCAATCCCTGTGAGGGAGGTTAGGCTAAAAGATAACTAAATGACCCCAAGTTGCCTAGTGAGGTTTTCCCCAGTCCCAATCTGGCATGCTGAAAACTACATGACACTGGCTGTCAACAAGTGTGGTGGGGACAGCTTCCAGACAGCTATCATAACAGGCATAGGTGAAACAGTTATACCTTCATTCAGCGGAATCATTTCTGGAGTGGGTTCTGACACCATCACAGAGGAACAGGACTATCTACCTACTTTTGCTCTTGTACTTTTTGAAAGCTGAATAATAGACCTTAATGTGATTGTAATGGAACAGTTTCTAATACCTGTTTTGTGGGCATAACAATCCACCCCTACAAGAAATGAGAATGAACCCTAATGGAGCATAGGATTGCTCATCAGCTCTGCTCCTTCCCTAGCACATCACACACACACACCCATCACTGGAGATGGCTGGGTGGCCAAATGCATGTTGCTATAATTTCCTGTATTTCATGGGCCATTGGCCTTGCTGTTTGCTTTTTTAAAAGCCTCCTACATAAAATGATTACATCATGAGGATTCACTCATAGCATCTGAAGTAGGCTCTCATCCATAAAAGCTTATGATGGAATAGAATTCACTTTGTCTTTAATGTGCTGGAAGACTCCTCTTTATTTTCTGCTGATTCTACAAATGAAAAGTGTGCTATGGCAAAAATGATAAACACAAATGGGAGAAATATGAGGCATGCTATAATACTCTCAAAACGTATTGAAAACAGACCAGCGGTGGGCAAGGAATAGCTTGCACCTTGTACTTATAATACTATATTTTTAAATAGCCTTATGTCATACTGAGTTTTGAATACATTTTAAATAAAATATCACCTAACCTGTGCTGCTTTTCAGTTTGTAACTACGATGTCCTTCCAAGCTTATGTGCTGATTTACGGTAATTGTGTCACCATACAATTCTGGTTTAAATGCATCTTCGCCTCTGTTTCGCAGAGTTATTGAAACATCTGCAGAACTGAAGAACAATTTGAGTTAGTATCTAAGCAAAGTGAATTAACCTTCACATTTAGGAAATCATCTTGCAATCATGAGTTATCACATTCTGGTTAGACAGCCAATGACAACTACTTAAACATTAACCTGAACATTTATTTTTACCCAAAAACATGTCAGATTGTAGAACAAATGCAACTCAAGGATACAGGTAGACAAGCAACACACTGGGTAAGCACTCAGTGCATTAGTTTGGAGAAGCTTGGTTCCAAACTTAAAACCCTAAAATGAAGTTAGCCAAGACTTTCTTAGCAGAGCACGCATGCTGATGTAAATCAAGTTTCATATAAGCAACGTGCAAGTCTCCTCACTAAAACATGTTAATCTATATATTTATTTCTGAAGTTGGCCCCAGAGTGCAGATCAAAAAAGCTGCAGAGAAAGGTAAGACAAAGGTGGATGGGAAGTGAAGGAGCAGAAAAAGGGTGGGAGAGAAGAAAAGGGAAGAGGCTGCAAGGGGGAGGGAAAGCTGAAAGTAGGGCAGAAAAAGGGAGGGGCAGAAGGAAAGGGGAGAAGCTGCCAGGGGAAGGAAAGAGGAAACAGCATGGGGAAGGGGGAGGGGTAAGATTTACCCTGCTAGTCCTAGCAGTTCTGCTGTTTGCCTTTACACCTAATGCTGAACCCAGAATGCAGATCAAAATATCTGCGCAATCAGACTATGTATTAAGGTGGAGTTTCCCCCGAAACTGAAAAGTTTTAAGAAAATGGGAAAGTGCCTCCAGTATGCTTTCTCCTCAAAATCCAGACCTTATCTCATCTGGCCAGTGCTGGCTGTAGTGTAAAGGCTGGATCAGGAAGCCCATCTTGACACCTGCTGTTCTAAACCTCCCCTGCTACCAACAAGGTAATGGGACAGGCTGGCCTTGACTGCTTTGCACTGCCTGCTTATCTGTCTTCAGATCCAATTCAAGAGGCTAATTCTGACTTTTAAAGGCCATCTTTACCTGGAATCCACATACTTGGAAGGGCCACTTCATCCTGTATATACCCATGTAGCAATCCCACCCTACCCAGCAAGGCATCTGGCTGTCCCTTCTCTGGCCAGTATGCACTCACTTGCTGACCAGACTCAGGCATTTCTGGTCACTGCTCCACTAATTTGAATGGCCTCCTGCAGGTGGTGAGGCAAGCTTCAAAAAAAAGCTGCAAAACTGAAAAGGAAAAGCTGCAAAACTGAATTATTTAGGAGGGCATTCTGTATAGACTGAACAGTTATTCTCGGTACACTGACTATTACAGGAGTGGGATTTTTATATTCATTGTTTTTTTAAAGGAAGGTTATCATGATTATACCGATTTGATTATTGGAAGAAACTAGGGATAAAATATATTTTAAATAAATAAATACTACTTCACTTACTTTTGCCCATCTTTAACAAACACTTTTAAAGACGATCCTCGGTTTGTCACTATAGCTTTTCCACCAAGCCCTACAATAAGGGCAGTTAACACAGCACTCTTCCCACCTGAAGAAAGCAGCATATGGATTATTCATATTTGGAAAGCTAATTTTAATTCTGTTTCAAAACCATGTAAAGTCCCTCCCAGGACAATATTGCATTAAAAAAGATACCCTTTCTTAAACCATAAGGTTTACTAAGCAAGCTCCTCTCAGCATACAGAGTAGGGGCGTGCAGGGAGGAAAAAAGGTATTTTTCTGATTCGGCTATATTGGAGCTGAAAAATATTGGAATTCCCAGTTTCCAAATACTGGTATGGTATTTAGATCTGTGTTGGGGGAGGTTCTGAAACTTTTCTGGCTAGGTTATTACCTATAGGGAATCTTTCAGAGGGGCTGGGCGAGTGTTTTTAAAGGTCCTGGCACCAAAATGGCATGGCAGCTGCTGGTGCCTGCCTTTTAAATACCCCCAAACTTCAAATGAACTGGACTATGGGGTGCCCCCAGCTATCCTCCATTGTTTCCTATGGAGGGAACAAAAAACCCACAAAAAATGTAAAACCCAAGGGTGTACGAATGCTATTGAAGCTATTGCTAAGCCAAACCAATGTAATACCCAAGAATCTGAAACTATGTAAATCCAAGAATCTGAATCACTGTAAAACATCTGCATTTGAACCAACATAAAATGCACAAATCTCAATCTATGTAAAACAGAAAAATCTCAAAATAAAACACAAGCATCCACCCATGGACCCAACACAAACCAACTCCAGCAATAGAACAAACTTTAAAAACCAACATAAACACTTTAAAGTGACAGAATCTTATCTACCTGGCAAGCTGATACCAAGCCCCAGTGGAAAAGAGGAAAAAACAGTCCTGGGACCCTAGAAACTTTGGCTCCTGATATTCCCAGTTAATGCTGAATATTTCCAGGATTTTTAGGGACCCATTTTTCAGTATCCTGAAAAATCCTGGATCTATTTGAAAAATACCAACAACATACTTTTCCGATATATTTTTAGCTACATTGTACCCAAACGCACATCTCTAATACAAAGGCCTTGAAAACCTGTAGAGCTAGTGCCAGTCATAGAAGCCAGTATTGAGCTATATGGACCGATGATCTGATATTTTATAAGACAGCATCATATGTTCAACATTTTGTATTTTAGTAAAACTTTCCCACAAGACATTGTCAATGGTAGCCCCAAGTTTCTACCATTAGCATTCTATGTAGAGCAGTTTTCAAACAAGCAATCCCACAAGCCAAGAATTTACCTTAATTACTTGAACATTAGTCTGATAAATTGCGTTTATTTGAAAGGATCTCAGATTGTAGAACAAATGCAACTCAAATCCAGGGTATAGGTACACAAGTAATACACTGAATAAGCATTCAGCGTATTAGGGTGGAGGAGCCTCAGAAAACACAGCAGTGACACAAAATAAAATTATTGGGGAATTTCAAGGGGAGACTAACAGGAAATTGCTGAACTGGAATTTATTTTAAGGTTTGATAAGCCAGGGGAACAAGAGGTCTGATAATCTTCTCAGTCTCTAACAGGTGTTAAATTGGGCTTGATCACACTGCTTATCTGTACACTTTTCAGGTTTGCTTAAAAAAACAGGCCTTTTAACCCACTGTAAACCATTTCCCCCTCACTGTACATATGAAAAACTCACATTGACTAAAAATTCACATCACTGCTTCTGATAGGTTATGCCACAATATATTTGTTCATTTTTAACATATCACAGGACTTTCGTTTTTACTGCAACAGAATAATATGGCTGTTTCAATGGAATCAGGATGCTCTTGACAGGACTTCTCGTATAAAGAGACTAGTAGTCAAAGCCTGTCTCAAACCACTACCCGCCTTGCTCAATGCAAGGATTCATCACTGCACTGAAGTTGTAAATTTTTGAGTACCACTTTGTTTTTGTGGGAAATTAATGTAATGGTCTTAACTAAAGAAGGGTACACTCCTATCTGGGATGATTGTCCTCTTCCATTGAGTTTGCAGCTTCGGGATAGATGAATATGGGGCAGTGAGGGAGTGTACCCTTCCAGATCAGCCAAATCCACCCTGGTGATCAATAGGGTCACAGCCAGATCACCCTCACATTCAATATATGGTCTAATAATTGCTGCAATCTTTGATGTCTTTTTTTTGGGAACTGAAATGCAGACTGAGCATTTCCAGTCTGTGGGCCACTGTTCTGTTTTCCATATCTGTTGGTTTGTTATTCCATAATCTTTTAAAGATTTTGAGGGACTGTTTTTGTAGCCTGAAACAGCTCAACTGATATTCCAGGTTTTCCTGGTGATTTGTTTCTTCCAGTTGCTTTGAGTACAGTTTCACATCACTTTCTAAAACTGAACATTTTCTACTGAAACAGTATTCTTGGAAGAATCTGTCATCCTTTCATCTCTTTTGTATAGTTGTTCAGTGTACTGTTTCCATCTTTTCTTTATTTTTTCCTGATCAAATAATGTATTTCTATGTTGATCTTTCAGCATTCTTAGCCATGGTTTGAATTTCCCTTTGATTTCCTGCATCTCGTAGAACAAATCTCCTGTTGTTCTATTTTTGTTGTTCTTTTCTATTACTTTGCACCGATTATTATAATAGTTCCTTTTTTCTCTGGGTGCAACAGCTGAAAAGCTGCATTTAGAATTCTGATTCTATTCTGTCATGTTTTACTTTTGCTTCTTGTCTATGTTCCACAATTTTAAGAGTTACATCTGCCATCCATCAAGGCTTTTAATTTCTTTTGGTTACAGGAATAGTCTTCATGTATTCTTCAGAGATAACTTCTGAGGTTTCAACCCACAGTTCATCCTCCTTTCCTGGCAAACAATAGGCATTCAATGAAACTGACTTGATCTTCGCCATTCTCATTTCAGTCTGATAGGAGAACTCCAGAAGATAGTAAGGAACAGAAAGACAGCACTAGGAAACAACAGCTATTTCAGAGTATAGCAGGCTCACCACAGCAGGAGTTAGAAACCCCTAAAAATGGTGGGGGTGGGAGGGGGAAGCAAAGTAGTTCCAAGCCATTCTGCTACATATATGTGCTGGACGATACCAGAGATAACAGTCACCATGTTTTTAGAACAAGTAAGGTAAGCTGGATATCATCCGTCATCCAGCTATGGATGGATGGAGTAGCACATTGACTCTGGATAGGTAAGTGGAGGTTGGGGATACAGCAATGATGGTGAGTAATGAATTCATTGTGCCAGTGTTTGGGAGACTGTTGCAGGGGACTGAGAAATTAGGAAATGAGGTTGGATACTTTTCTGGAGAGTGCTTGCAAATAGCCTAGGCAATCCGGAGTATTGAGAACTGCACATAGGTTGCCAAGCAGGCATGTCCCTGGCTACTTCATCCACAAGAGTAGCCAGCCCATTATATTATAACAGCACACACTGTGTTATTTTGCCAGCACTCAGACAAGGTAAACACAGGCCCCGGTCACACGGGCAGGAAACTGCAGAGGAGAAGCGTGGCTGTTTGCCCTGGGGCAAACTACTGCGCAGTTACGTGATCAGACCTCCTGTGGAGGTCCTGTGGAGGTACCGTGGAGGTTCCATGGCAACGGAGAGGTGCCGATCACAGGACAAGCCGGCGCACAACGAAGAAGCGTGTGCCGCGGCAAACTGTTTTTTATTTTTGTGTACATGACAAATGCGCATGCTCCGTTGGGTGCGCATGCGCATCCACAGAGACTTGGACAAAAAATAAACACCTTATTTGCAAGGGGACATGGGCGGGTGCCGGATGCCACCGGAAATGCGATCAGACGCCCGCCCTTGCCCCGCAGTTTCCGGAAACTAGTACCTCCAAGGTACTAGTTTTTTGCCACGCAGTTTCGGCTGGAAGCCTCGGTTGAGCCACGGGAGTGCTACGCTTCCCAGATGTGCTGGTGAGATCGCGCCCGGAAACTCCGTTTGTTTTTCCGTCTCACTTGTGTGGCTTCTGTTACGTGTGACCACAGCCACAGACAGCATCCAAGGACTCTGGGAGGATGCAGGCAAACCAATAAAGGACAAATAGAAAGCTAAACCATGATTTGACTGCACACAATTTGAGATTTCAAATTAAAGTGGGTTGTCTCATATCTCCGTGGCTGGGGATAGAGGGTCTGTGGCATGTGGAGTCCCTCAGGGGGCTATCCTCTTCCCAATGTTATTTAATATCTACATGTATCCTCTCACCCAGTTGGTGTGGAGTTTCAGGCTAGGATGCCATCAGTACACTATTTTACACTGATGGCACCCAGCCATAACTGTTGATGAATGGACGGACATTGCCCCAAGAAATCTGGCAGGGAAGGTCAATATTACAATATTACATTTCAGGTTTGCTCAAAAAACTGCCTTCACAAAATATTTTTTGTGGTGCAATGGGAGAAGCAAAGCCAACTGAAACTGGATCCAGCAAAGACAGAGGTTCTCTGGCTAGGTGGGAGAGATTCAGGTTTGGGACGCCAACTTCTGGCTCTTGACCATGAGCCTTTAACAGCGGCACAGTCAGTCAAAAGCTTGGGTGTACTTCTAGATACCCCCTTATCAATTGAGACCCAGATCATGAATGCTGCCAGACTGGCGTTTTTCCAGCTGCGCCAGGTCAGGCAACTGCCCTCCTACTTGTCTTGCCCTGACCTAGCCACAGTAATCCATGCAACAGTCAACTCTAGGCTTGATTACTGTAACTCGCTCTACACAGGGGTGCCCTTGAAGCTGATCTGGAAGTTACAACTTGTCCAGAATGCAGCAGCCCGGGTCATTACAGGGACACCGCTCACAGCACATATTCAACCTGTACTTTGCCAGCTGCACCGACTCCAGGTTGAGTACCAGGTTAGGTTCAAGGTTTTGGTCTTGACCTTCAAAGCCCTACAACAGTCAGGGACCAACGTACCTGCAGGACTGTCTCTCCCAGTATGTCCCCTGGAGAGCATTATGCTCAGGAGAACAACATCTACTGTAAGTCCTTGGCCCAAGGAGCATCTAGCTGTCCTCAGTCAGAGCTAGGGCCTCCTCAGTCCTGGCTCCAACTTGGTGGAACTCTCTGTCAGACAACATCAGGGCCCTGAGAGACCTGTTCCAATTCCACAGGGCCTGTAAGGCAGAGATGTTCCGCCAAGCATATGGCTGAGGATAGCAATTTTTTTTTAACAGCAATCGATCTATCAGTTAGCTCTTCAATCTCCTCCCCCCACATCAATACTTATGGGGGTCAAAATTTCTATTGTGGCATCATGTAGGTTTCTGATTTTATGACTATGATTTGTACATTGGATCGTTTAATAGTCTCTTATGTCAGATTGCTATACACCACTCTGAGTCCGCTCTGCAGGGAGGGAGGTATAGAAATGCAATGAAATAAATAAATAAATAAATAATTCAGTGTGTCATCTGAACTGAGCCATATCTTTGGCCAGGTTTTTGGTCAGATATTTGTCTTATAGGTTTTTTTTAACTGAATTAGGAAAAATATTATCTGGCAGCCTATAGCAGGACATTCTCAGTTGTATTACCTGCCCATAATCACTCACCAAGCCTCTTCTCTTGTAAACCCCCGGAAACTGTTATCTTTAAAACTCTGTTAGTTTTGATGTTTTAGTCATGTTTCTGATCTGCGGTTTTATTTTATTAAATATCACTTATAAATATCATTTATAAATGATATAAGTGAATACGAAAAGTACTAGGTCCCAGATGAAAGGCTGGCATATGAACGAACAGAAACCTTGAGAGGGAAACAAAAATTCTTGCACACTGGGACATTCCTATTCTGAGCTACTCAGAAATTCCCCAGGCAATCCACAACAGCAAATCCAAACAATAAAACAAATTGTGTTAAAAGGAAATGATTACAAACAATAATCACTTAGAGACTAACTTTCTTGCTAACTGATAAAGAGCCAATAGCATAAAATCCAATTTTGCTTTAAATAAATTGATTAAAACTTACTCCCATTGTTTCCAACAATAAAATTCACATTGGAGCCAAACTTGAATGGACCCAGCATTGCATGGCACATGAAGTTCTTCAGCTGGATACTTTCAATTATTCCGACTTCTCCTGATGCCTACAGGTATTACAAACATGGGTAAGGACTCAAAAGTTTACCACTAACCTTGTGTACATAGGCAGGGAAAAGCTGCAGATCACCACAACACTTGTTAACTTGTTAAGTCTGTTAATGCTCAGAGAACATAGATGATCACACTGGCATGAGCATTCAAGATAGATTTAATAAACTTTTGAAGAGGTAGAAGCTGCATATGGGTCCAGAAAGTTGACATGTGAGAGAGACAGAATGTGCAAGTGTACTTATAGCAATGTTTCCTCTAAGCTGAGTTAGTGTGAGCTAGCTCACAGTTTTTTAGCCTCCAGCTCACAGATTTTTGTCTTAGCTCAGGAAGGATGGGGCTCCAGAGCAAACTAATTTATGCAGTAGCCAAATCACTTGCTTACAACTTTAAGGCCAGTAGCTCACAAAGTAGAATTTTTCTCACAAGACTCCGCAGCTTAGAGGGAGCATTGGCTGGGAGACTGACTCTTTAGACCAGATTGCCCCCAACAATTAACTTTCAAAGTAAAATATAGGCTGCTTCCAAATTTCGCAGGATTTTTCCATCTGGTTTGTTGCACATATCATTGCAGAAAAAGGATAGATAAAAATTCAAACCCCAATGATTTTGATAAAATTTTATTTTATTTTACAAAACCTCTTTAAAGCAGAAATGCACAAAGGTGTGGAGATGCAGCACCTCAAGCACACAGATACACAAAGTGGAGAAATCTGAGTGAGCTGTAAGCAAACTGTATTGGCTGGGGATAGGCAACATGACATCTAATAGGTGGAAACCTACAATGATATACCTGGATAGCCCCGGCTAGCACAATCTTGTCAGGCTAGCCCAATCTCAGAAGCTAAGCAGGGTCAGCCCTGGCTAGTTTTTGGATAGGAGACCTCCTAGGAATACCAGGTTTGTGAGTCAGTGGCAAGCAATGGCAAACCACCTCTGAATGTCTCTTGCCTTGAAAACCCCTCAGAGTCGCGATAAATCAGCTGCAACTTGGAAGGCACTTTCCACCACCAATTATAACTAGGGGAATATAAAGACAGATAACTGCCTGTTATGTAACTACATGAAGGTAAACATAAAGTTGAGAGGAAGGCAGGAAGGAAGGAAGGGAGGGATGGCAGTTCTGTATTAAGACTTGAATGGGTGGAGTATAGCAAGGCCACTATCTCACTATCCCACAGTGCCCACAATCAACTAAAAACTACAGAACTTTCTATTATACTACACTAATTAAGAGCAACAAAGGGGTACATACTTTACTCACACATATATGTAGGAAATGGGGTAGAAGTACCCGCCCAAAAAACACTCTCCCACTTCTACAACTGTCAAACACTTACCTAAGACAGCCCACCTCATTATGGAGCTAAAAGGTTTCATGATATCAACTACATAATACTTCAAGCAGAACGATGATAACACTGAACAGAAACGGGGCTTTTTCACTCCAAATGCTTAGAAAAATGGTGGTAGAAGAGTAGGCTGCTTCATTTAATAATTCAGGTATTTGGGAACTAGCCAGCTCAAGCAGGTTTCTAAAGAGATGGCACACAGTTTCTAAATAAATAATCAATATATTTCTGTTTACCCTAGCTTTCAACTAAAGGGTTTCATTTTTCTGAGCCATTTTTATGGTCTGCATCTAGACTGAGGAAAGTTTTATGGATATCACTTTGGGATGCTGAAATGTGGTTTACGCTAGGCTTATACCCTTGGGTTGTTTTCATGTTTATAATTCTTATGTTCTTGATTTTTTAAAATTGTTTTATTTTGTGAGGTACCACAGCATATCTCTGGGAAAGCAGGATATAAATTACAGTAATATTTTAACTGCTAAAATTTCTTTAACTGTTTCAGCTGTGTACACACAAAAAACAGTGTTCTTGAAAACAGGGGTGGTGGAGCCTGCATGCGAACTAATGTGGCTGGAGCCACATGCTCAATCCCACCTCTGCTCTCTGCACTTGCATAATTTGTGAGGAGCTCCTGAGCAAGCCAACTTCAACCTCCAAATAATTTCAACACCTGATACAGAAATATAGCCATTGGTGGGAGCTATTGTAATAGCTTTGGGCTAGAATGTACAGGTTTCATGTGTCATCAGATTTCATGCTGCTTTTGAACAAAATAAGCTAGCTATGAACCCTCAAATAATTAGAATATTAAAGCTGAACTCACATATTGTCTCCTGTTCTGGACTGTCTGTCTGTAAGCTCTTTAATACATTAAAACGATGTTTAAAAACAAGGAGTTAATTAGTTCCCCACATAAATATCAGTAACATTTAAACCTGATCATTACTTTCATTTTAACAACAATACTGAAAATATGTTGTAACGCTTATTGCTTACCAACTGTGAATTAGAACTGCTATCATTTGTCATTTGCGAAAAGTCCTCTTCATTGGTGTCATCATCAGAGTCTTCTCGGAATTCTTGTCTAGGTCTTTTATGGGACCCTGGTGACGAAAAACCTCCCTCTTTTCTCTTAGCCATCACTGCTGAAGAGATATAAAATTCAGAACACAACCAAAAGGTGGGCATGATCCCACCAAAGTTTTAAGAGATCTTTATTTCAGTGCAAGAAATGAAAGTATAAGGTTAACTCCTCTACTAATAAAGTTGCCAATGCCAACACGTTTGGAGAAGAGTGTCCTGTCCTTTTAATAGAGGGTTAATGTGTGGGAATGAGGTAAATAAAGTTCTATTAAGCCATTACTAAAGGGACAGGACTTTTTTTCCTCTAGGAAGATGGCAACCATAACCACTAAAATCAAATTGCATTTATAGTGCTTGACTCTGGCTACACTGTTCTTGGAACACTTAAAGATCACAGATAGCATTCTAAGTATTTTTAAATTATTTGATTTGTTCCACAGTTGTATTTACAAAGAAGCAGTAATACTGCTGCCAGTGGTAATATCTAATCTTAGCTTAGCTTAGCTTTGCTCTTCTTGTAGCCCGTTAAAGTCAGGGAATGTTCAGAGGCACAAGTCTTTGGGTGCAAACGAAAGTGCCCTTCACTTTTAATCTTATAACAAGCTGCAGCATGATATAGCTATTTTTTTTTTATTTAAGCCTCCCCTTCTATTGTGCATCGCCCCCCCCCCCAAAAAAAACACCAACAACCTGTAAGCCAGTTTGGGTCCTTCAGGGAGAAAAGTGGAAAATAAGTATTATAAAGAAGCTTAGGCGGGTTTTTTTTTAAAAAGACATCAAATATCTGGGTTAAAATCAATCCAAAGTCTCTCAACAAGCATCAAATTGCAAGCTTAAACTGTATGAGAGAGACAAGACAAATTGAGACAATGTGCATTTATTTAAAGATGCCTCAAGTGCCACATCCTTTTAAGTCCATTGAAGGGAGCATGCTTAGAATGGTGTAAGTCTGCTTAGAGGCACTACTATGTAGGTACTTAACACATTATACAAGTTACCACAAGTCTTTGCTGGGGGGGGAAGTGATAGTGTGTAATGTTTTGCCATGTAAATATTTTGCTTTTTTATTTCTGCAAATTAATGTGAGATTTTATATGTATGTTTGCTGTACTTTAAAATGCAGGCTATAAGGTAAGAAAGGGAGGGCTGGATGAGTGAAATGTGTTATGACTGGATGGTAGCTATATCCTAGGTGGTGGAGTTGACTGGTTTGTGGAGAAAAGAAAGAGAGGGACAGGAGAGTTAGAGGAAGTGTCAGATGCTTTAGACGGAGGCTGTGGTCACATGGCAGGGTTAGCACGGTCTGGCCCCGTCTCAAATTTCTCCATTATTTTTTGTAACAGAGAAATTTGATCAGACATCCCACCCTTAACCCACTTCACCTTGCACTCACCCCGTGGAGAACTGATCAGGTGGCAGTTGCAGAGTGACAGCTATTATTTGTCCTTTGGGTATGCGCATAAGCACTTATGGGAAGCTACTGCTTCAAACTCCTGGCAGCTGGTGGTTACTGGGATTGCAGAACGAGGCTGCTGGGATTTGTAGTGTGACTGTGAGTGCAGTGTTTTTTAAACTCTTCTTTTTAAAAATTAATTGTTTCAAAGCTGGGGGGGGGGAGAGAGAGAAGCCTCATCCTGTGTGCTGACATTTTTATTAAAAGCTTGGAGCAAAGCTGGAGTCAAGGCATCGTTCTCAGACTGCCTCTTCCCCCCTCTGAAAACCCCTTTCCCAACCACGTGAGCCGCAAAGCTGTTGGCAGAAAACAGGTGAAACGGATCTGCTTAAGCGCAGACTGCTAAATGAATTTTTTAAATGGCGCCAACGCAAGTGTGCTCTCTAGCTTCCCAAATGGCTTGATTTCTCAAGAGAAAGTTCAGACATCAGGAATTGTGTGCTGAAACCACTTCAATCTGTAATGGTCTGTTTTTTTCCAGTGTCAGCTGTGAGTACAGGCTGCCAACGACTGCAGAATGGGAGACAGATATCACAGTCTAAACAATCATTTTTAATCCATAAGGGAGAAGCAATGAAATTGGGTCAAATAGCCAGTCTGATCACAGCCTGAGAGAAATCTGTGTTTTCTTCATGCAGAAGCCTAAGTGGCAAGTGAGTAAAATAAGACTTTGGGGCTAGGTCTATTTTGAAAACATTTTTTTTTTTAAAGACCAGCACATATCTTACAACAAGGAAGCTAGTGTGTATATGTGTCAAGTGCTGTCAAGTGGCGTCCAACTTATGGAAACTCTATGTATTGTTGTTGTTGTTCAGTCGCACAGTCGAGTCCGACTCTTCGCGACCCCATGGACCAACTCCCACCAGGCCCTCCTGTCTTCCGCTGTCCTCTGAAGTTTGCTCAATTTCATGTTCGTTGCATCTATGACACTGTCTAACCATCTCATCCTTTGCCGTCCCCGTCTTCTTTGACCTTCAATCTTTCCCAGCATCAGGGTCTTCTCCAGTGAGTGCTCCCTTCTCATTTGGTGGCCAAAGTATTTGAGCTTCAGTTTCATTATCTGGCCTTCCAGGGAACAGTCAGGGTTGATTTCTTTTAGGATTGACTGATTTGTTCTTCTTGCAGTTCAAGGGACTCTCAAGAGTCTTCTCCAGCACCATAGTTCAAAAGAATCTATTCTTCGGCGCTCGGCCTTCCTTATAGTCCAACTCTTGCAGCCATACATGACTACTGGGAATACCATTGCTTTGACCATGCGGACTTTTGTTGGCAGGGTAATGTCTCTACTTTTTATCATGCTGTTTAGGTTCGCCATCGCTTTCCTCCCAAGGAGCAGGCGTCTTTTAATTTCATGGCTGCTGTCACAGTCTGCGGTGATCTGGGATCCCAGGAACGTGAAGTCTGTCACTACTTCCACAGCTTCCCCTTCTATTTGCCAAGGAGTGATGGGGCCAGATGCGATAATCTTCGGGGGGTTTTATGTTGCGTTTCAAGCCAACTTTTGCGCTCTCCTCTTTGACCCTGAGCAAGAGGCTCTTTAGGTCCTCTTCACTTTCTGCCATCAGAGTGGTATCGTCTGCATATCTGAGGTTGTTGATCTTTTCCCCAGCAATCTTAATTCCCGCTTGTGATTCATCCAGGCCAGCATTTCGCATGATGTACTCTGCATATATATTAAATAAGCAAGGTGACAATATACATCCTTGTCGTACTCCTTTTCCTATGCTGAACCAATCAGTTGTTCCATATCCGGTTCTAACTGTCGCTTCTTGGCCCTTATACAGGTTTCTCAAGAGACATGTGAGGTGGTCTGGTACTCCCATCTCTTTAAGGACCTGCCATAGTTTGTTGTGATCCACACAGTCAAAGGCTTTAGCATAGTCAATGAAGCAGAAGTAGATGTTTTTCTGGTACTCTCTTGCTTTCTCCATAATCCAGCGAATGTTGGCAATTTGATCTCTAGTTCCTCTACCTCTTCGAAACCCAGCTTGTACTTCTGGTAGTTCTCTATCCACGTACTGTTGAAGCCTAGCTTGTAGGATCTTGAGCATGACCTTGCTAGCGTGTGATATGAGTGCAATTGTGCGATAGTTTGAACATTCCTTGGCATTGCCCTTCTTTGGGATTGGAATGTATACTGACCTTTTCCAATCCTGTGGCCACTGTTGCGTTATCCAAATTTGCTGGCAAATGGAGTGCAGAACTTTAACAGCATCATCTTCTAAGACTTTGAATAGCTCAGCTGGAATACCATCACCTCCACTAGCTTTGTTGTTAGTAATGCTTTCTAAGGCCCATTTAACTTCACATTCCAGGATGTCTGGCTCGAGGTCAGTGATTATACCGTCGTGGTTGTCAAGGACATCGAGGTCTTTCTTGTATAGTTCTTCTGTGTATTCTTGCCATCTTTTCCTAATCTCTTCTGCTTCTGTTAGGTCCCTACCGTTTTTGTCCTTTATCATGGCCAGCTTTGCATGGAACGCTCCCTTGATTTCTCCAACTTTCTTGAAGAGATCTCTAGTCCTTCCCATTCTATTGTTTTCTTCTATTACTTTGCACTGTTCATTCAGGAAGGCCTCCTTATCTCTCCTTGCTGTTCTCTGGAAATCTGCGTTCAGTTGGGTAAATCTTTCCTTTTCGCCTTTGCCTTTCGCTTTCCTTCTTTCCTCTGCTATTTGTAAAGCCTCATCAGAAAGCCACTTTGCTTTCTTACATTTCTTTTTCTTTGGGATGGTGGTGATTGCTGCCTCCTGTACGATGTCACGAACCTCTGTCCATAGTTCTTCAGGCACTCTATCTATCAAATCCAGACCCTTGAATCTATTCTTCACCTCTACTGTATATTCATCAGGGATGCGATCTAGGTCAAACCTGAATGGCCTCGTGGTTTTCCCAATTTTCTTCAGTTTAAGTCTGAATTTTGCAATGAGTAGCTCATGATCTGAACCACAGTCAGCTCCAGGTCTTGTTTTTACTGACTGGATAGAGCTTCTCCATCTTTGACTGCAAATTATATAGTCAATCTGATTTCGGTGTTGCCCATCTGGTGATGTCCATGTGTAGAGTCGCCTCTTAGGTTGTTGGAAAAGGGTGTTCGCTATGACCAGTGTGTTCTCTTTTTTTATATAAGTTTATTTATAATTTTCAGTATACATCATATCATCAGTTTACATTTCTCATACTTGTGAGTCATAGCTATTCTCTTTGGCCAACCATACATAAAACTTTTCCCATCATTTATCGAATGTCTCTTTGGTATTACCTTTTATTATTAAACTTAGTTTGCCAATTCTACTACTGACAACATTTTATCAATTACTTCTTTCTTTGAGGGCAATTATTCTTCTTTCCATTTTTTGGCTAATATTATTCTAGCTGTTGTAAAAAGGTATATAATTACATATTTACTAGTTTTGCTATACATATCTGGGAGCATATTCAATAGAGCTATTTCTGGTACAAATGGGATTTGTTCTTCTGTTATTTCATTAATCATTCTGTATATTTTTTCCAATATCTTTGTACTTTGTACCAGTGTGTTCTCTTGACAAAACTCTGTTAACCTTTGCCCTGCTTCATTTTGCATTCCAAGGCCTAACTTATTCCGGCTACCTTTTGACTTCCTACTTTAGCATTCCAGTCCCCTATGATGATGAGGACATCATTTTTTGGTGTAAGTTCTAGGAGGTGTTGTAGGTCTTCATAGAACCAGTCCACTTCGGCCTCTTCTGCATCAGTGGTTGGGGCATAGACTTGGATTACTGTGATGTTGAATGGTTTGCCTTGGAATCGGACTGAAATCATTCTGTCATTTTTGAGATTGTATCCCAGTACTGACTTTTGCACTCTCTTGTTGACTATAAAGGCCACACTATTTTTTCTACGAGATTCCTGGCCACAGTAGTAGATAAATGGTCTTCTGAGTTAAATTTGCCCATTCCTGTCCATTTTAGTTCACTGATTCCTAAGATATCAATGTTCAGTCTTGCCATCTCATTTTTGACCACGTCAAGCTTACCTTGATTCATAGATTCCTATGAATCAAGGTATGTAGTATTTTAGGTTCCTATGTAGTATTGTTCTTTGCAGCATCGGACTTTCCTTTCACCATCAGACACATCCACAACTGAGCGTCCTTTCGGCTTTGGCCCAGCCGCTTCACTCTTTCTGGGGTTACTTGTACTTGCCCTCTGCTCTTCCTCAGTAGCATATTGGACACCTTCTGACCTGAGGGGCTCATCTTCCGGCGTCATATCTTTTAGCCTTTTGATACTGTCCATGGGGTTTTCTTGGCAAAAATACTGGAGTGGGTTGCCATTTCCTTCTCCAGGGGGATCACTCTTGGTCTGAGTTCTCTACTGTGGCCTGTCCGTCCTGGGTGGCCCTTCACGGCATAGCCCACAGCTTCATTGAACTACGCAAGCCCCCTCGCCATGACAAGGCCTATTGTTAACAGCCTTGCTCAGATCTTGGAAACTGAGGGTCATGGCTTCCTTTATAGAGTCAGTCCCTCTTGCGAGGGGTCTTCCTCTTTTCCTGCTTTCTTCAACTTTTCCTAGCATTATTGTCTTTTCCAGTGACTCTTGTCTTCTCATAATGTGACCAAAGTATGATAGGTTCAGTTTAGTCATTTTAGCTTATAGGGAGAGTTCAGGCTTGATTAGATCTAGAAATCACTTATTTGTCTTTCTGGTGGTCCATGTAGTCATGCTGATACCATTACGACTTTGAACCACCCTGGAACCGTTAAGCTTTTATACTTCTTAATAAACTATATCTTTTAAAGTAAAAACAACCATTTTATAGAAGAAATGATCCCATTTTACTTCACTGCCACCCCCCTACAGTGACCTTTCGGTCATTCTACCAAATATAATTAAACCATCCTGTTCTTTGGGTTCAACTAAGAGGTCTAAAGCAAAAGCCTTTGGTAGCAGTGAAAATCATCAGGGAACACCAAGGAAGTCAAGGAGGCAATATAATACAGGTTATTTCAGAGCATTACAGAGAGATGCCATTATATGTATTGCATACCAGGGGCTACAATGCAGGGGGTAAAACATTACATTGTGCAATGGGTCAGACAGCTACGTGCTAATTACCTGATAAAAGGGGAAATCTCTTGTGTTGCCAGTAGCTCCACCCCAATTAAAATAATATCCTCTGGATGTTTACTCAGAAGGAAGAATAATTTAAATACTTTCTATCTAAGTCTCTCTACCACCAGAGCATAAGACATCTTGTAGAAAAATATAAACAATATGCTTCATGGCCATGCACTTTATTTCAGATAGAACAGGGTTTCAAAGGATGACTACAGCAATTACATATTCATACAGTAAGAAGCAGTCCTTCAAATATCCAGACCAGCCATCATAAGATCATAATCAGCACTTTGAACTAAGCTCAAATTGTACCAAATTTCTGGCCTATCATTTACAGAAAGTTATTTGAGTGCTACATTTTGAAATGGTTGAAACTTCCACATGGCCCTCAAAAATTAAGCATATTTCTGCAATGTAATTTGGAACAGATTAGCACCATGGACTAATGCTGCTTCTAAACCATCTTTCTCCAGGAAGACTGCTGGCCAAGCATGACACGCCACAGAAGAGAGCTGAGCCTCCAGTTGTAAACACAAATGTAACAGCACCCTAGGGTTGCAAAGTTGTTCTTTTCAGGGAAGCACAACCCTATCAAGAAGAGGCTGACTCCTCAATCCCTGATTTGACACACAATCGACCAATAGCAGCATCAGCATATTGTCTCTCATCTAGCCACTACTGCCTCCAAAGCACTTCTTAAAGCACCCACACCACTTGAATTTACAGATGTTTAACAGTACAGATGTATGGAAGTATACAAGCAAAGTTTGTGGAACCCCACTGCATGAATGCCATGGGTATGAGTAACTATCTTTCAGCATCACGTTTTTTGAGGGCTAGTGTGGTTTTAATGTTGAACTAAGATCTGGGTGACTGTTTCAATCCCCACTCTGCCATGGAAGCTTGCTGCCTGACTTTGGTCCAGTCACACACACTCTCCCTAGCCTACTTCACAGGGTTGCTGTGAGGAAAAAATGGAGGAGGGGAGAGCAATGTAAGCCACTTTGGGTTTCTACAGGGGAGAAAGGAGGAGTGTAAATGAAGTAAAGTAAAACAATGTTAATTGAACTGTATTAATGTTTTAAAGGTTTCTGGCTGGTTTTCATTTGCTTGTTTTATTGTAAACTGTTCTGAGCAATGAAGAGAAGCACTACATAAATAAATAAGATACAAAAGGTACCTGACCATTCAGATGACTGCGTATAAACAACAATGACAGAGGACTGAATGCTGTTCATCAATATTATTGCCATGGAAGAAGCACAAAGATGTGCTACTTAAAAGTCTACCTTTCTCACTGAGAGGATGTCCCTGTGATATTCGCTTGAATGGGTGGTACCACAGGGGGTGATCCTTGCTCTGATGTTACTTAACATCTATATGCACCCCCTTGCCCAGTTGGTCTGGGGGTTTGTGTTGGGCTATCACCAATATGCTGATGACACCCAGCTCTATCTGCTGAGTCTCAAGGCAAATTGCAATGCAATCAGTAAAATAAGACATCTAAAAAGCAATATAGTAGTAGGGCTCTAGGAACCTGTAAAAACATGCAAAAAGCATTAGTCACGTGATCATCAGAATGTGGCTGTGTTTGGACCAAGTTTTTCTCCACTTTATACTCTGAGAGGCAGTGGCAGACAGTGGCTGGGAGTGTTGGCCTAGGACCTGGATTCAAATCCCTACTCACCCATGTCAGATCATCGTTTTGAGGATAAAGTGGGGAAGATATAATATAACATAATTTATATAATAGAGTTTATATAATATAGAGGAAAGATGTTGGGTGAAAGGTTATGATTAAGAGGGATACGATGGATTGTTGGAATAAGTGTATTTTGCTCTGTTGTTCCAAAAACCAATTTTTGGAATTGATCAAACTGTCGAGATGCATCTGCGCTCTATTCTCTCGTTTTTCTTTTTTTAATTGTTTATATTCCTTCTTGGATTTTTTTTATATATGTATGAAAAACTTTGATTTTTTAAAAAGAGATAACGAAGCGGGGAAGGAAGCACTGGCTCCGTTCCTCCGAGCTCCCTGGAGGATGGGAGGGATACAAACGTCCTGAATAAACAGCTGCCCCCTAAACCCTGAGCTCCAGAAGCCGATCCCCAGACTCAGTTCTGAGACGTTTACTGAGAGAGAAAGCGTGCTCCAAATCCGCAGCCTGCGGCCATTCTGCTTCCTTAAAGGCTGAGTAGTGACTAATAATAATACCCTTAAAAGACTGACGGCACCGCCACTACAAGGCAAAGTAGAGGGGGGGGGGGAGAAGAGAGGTAAATGTTATGCGGCTTCTCCTCAGCTCCTTCACGGGGCACATCTGGAGCAACGGGAGGCCGGCGATCCTCTTCAGCCCCCACCTGACGAACCAAAACCCTGAGGGGGCCCCTCCCTCCCCCCCTTCACTGGAGTAACTGTTGGGGACCGTTAAGAGTTTGTACCTGTTCAGAAACTCCGAACGGGCGGCGCGCGGGACCCCTTCCCCGTTCCGAAGAGCGCATTAACAGAATCTACGCGCGAAGAATGGGAGACCACACATGCGCACTTCCTGGGTGTGTTTCCCCACCTTCTTCTGGCAGTCACAGGGGAGGGAAGCAAATCAAACCGGAGTTCTATATACACTTGTGGGTTCGCTATGAATTTGCCATATGAGGGGGCGAGGGCAAGAGATAGGCGCACAGTGCCCGGATGGAAATTTGCCATGTCCTTTGCATTGACTCTAACCCCACAGGAGCCGCCATGCAAGTCTGCGGCGGCAAAAATTAGACCGAACTCTCGTTGCATCTTAATTTTATTCCATCGTACATTCTAATCTTCAACGTGGCACCAAACTCGTGTTTACGATCAGTTCGGCTCGGTTACGAATCGGAGGTGTTTATAGTCTCCCTTTTTTACGCCTGCATCTCTTTGGGATTGCCTGCCAATAGTTCGGCGCTGCCGGTTAACGTCACCGCCCGACGCATGCGCAATTACGTGTACCGGATTACGAATTGTGGCGCGGAGACACTGCTGCGGAGTTGGTTGGCGTGGCGTATAGCTATTGAGAGATCGGGGTGAGGTTCTGAGCCCGAACTTTTCTTTTTCCTCCGGGGTGCTTGGGTGGCAGGGAGGGAGTCTGGTGATGGAAGCACGTCTTCCTGTGTGATTGGGGACTGGACTTTTTCTTTCTCTCCAGCAGTTGCCAACCTTTTTGGAAGATAATGGAATGGTCCCCCAACGGGTAAAGTAGCAGAACAGTACAGTTAATAGGGTTGCCAGCTCTGCGCTCGAAAATACCTAGAGACTTTGGGGGTGGATCCGGGAGAGGAAGAAGAAGAAGGAGAGAAGAGATTGGATTTATACCCCGCCCTTCACTTGGGAGTCTCAGAGCGGCTTACAAATTCCTTTCCCTTCCCCTCCCCACAACAGACACCCTGTGAGGTGGGTGGGGCTGAGAGAACTCTGACACAAACTGCTCTTTTTCAAGGACAGCTGTGCCAGAGCTTGCGACTGACCCAAGGTCACATCAGCAGGTGCAAGTGGAGGAGTGTGGAATCAAACCCGGTTCTCCCAGATTAGAGTCCGCGCACTTAACCACTACACCAAACTGGCTCTCAATGGATTTGGGGAGGGGAGGGGTGGGGAGGGACCTCAGCATGGTCCAATGCCATAGAGTCCACCCTTCAAAGCAGCCACTTTCTCCAGGGGAGCTGGTCTCTGTCAGCTGGAGATCAGTTATAAAAGCGGGAGATCTTCAGGCCCCACCTAGAGGCTGGCAATCCTAGTACAGTATAGGGTGTGTGTCTGTGCATGTAAGACACTCTTTCTCTACCTCCTCTGTTAGCTTTCAGTTTGCCTCAGAGTTTTCTTCCAAACAACATTCCAAGCTGGAATTCTTCTCTAACATACTGAAGTCCAACCCTACTCCTCATTTTCTTGGACGTGTGAAGCAGACTAAAGCATGCATGGAACACCAGCTTTTGGCTACCGGCTCCCTGCAGTGTTTCCCCAAGAGTGCCAGTGCGTCCTGGAACATCATTGCCCTCACATCCTGGCTCAGCCATTTCAACTTTCTTTATTTATTGGGATTTATATCTTGCCCTACCCTGCAAGCAGGCTCAGGGCGGCTCGCATCATAGTATAAAACAGGTATGTCCAACAGGTAGATCGCAATGTACCAGTAGATCTACCAGTAGATCGCGGAGGGGTCAGAGGTAGATCACCTGCCCCTTACCAGTAAATGACAGAAGGTGCATTATAAATGGGGGGCGGGTGGGCGGTGGAACCCAACTTTAGTTAGTTAAAATCTAATTTGAAAACTAATTTGAAACTTTATTTTCATGGTGGTAGATCACCGGCACTTTTGGCCGGAAAAAATAGATCACTACCTGTTCGAAGTTGGACATGCCTGGTATAAAACAGCAGGAACAGCAAGAACAATTTAAAATATCACATGGTCAATACCATAGAAATAAAGTTACAATTACATAATAGTCTATGTTATCATGGCCAACAAATTGGCAGCTGGTGTCATTCAGTGTACACTAGCCCTATGCTAGAGGGGCAATGGATCAGGATAGATTAGATCAGCTGCCCGTTGCACCAATGATATAAAAGCACCATGGGTGATCAAAGTAGGGGAGGCCAGTGTTATTCAAGATATTATTCAACATCCGCTGCCTCAACGAAAGGCCTGGCAGAACAGCTCTGTTTTTCAGGCTTTGTGGAATAGCAACAGATCCTGCAGGGCCCTGATCGCAATTGGGTGCGTGTTCCACCTGGTTCCTGGCCCTGGTTGAGGCAAGGCAAAAGTCTTTCGGGTCGGGGACTACAAGGCGGTGCTGGTCAGCAGACCGCAAGACTCTGCAAGGCATAGATAAGGAGAGACGGTCCCACAGGTATGCTGGTCCCTGGCCACAAAGGGCCTTAAAGGTTAATGCCATAACCATAATATATGTATTAATGATCATGAGAATGTATAAAGTCTGCAAATCACTGTGTTGGTCCAAAGTAAAGCCCCAGAGCCATCTAATGCCTTTTATTAAGACCAACCAAAATGACACAAAACAGGGTTCCATCTTACATCAGACGTGGGGGGGGGGGGGGGGATAATCCTAAAGCTACTCATCTGCATTCTGAGCACAAAGGCAAGCAGGTTTTATATTCATATATGCATATAGCTACATATTTAGTAGATTTTTTAAAAATCCTGCCTATCTTGCAATACGCTCAGTGTGTTGCACATTGCCTTTCCTTCCTCCATTTTATCCTCACAGCACCCCTGTAAAGTAGGTTAGGCTGAAAGGGAGAGTGATTGGCCAAAAGTCACATAGTTAACTTCATGGCAGAGTGGAAATTTGAACTCACGTCACCCAAATCCTAGTCCAGATCTCTAATAGCTAAATGGTGCTGGGTAAAACTGGTGTCAGGTTGCACCTTTGGCCTTCTGGAACTGAATATATAAAAGACAGTGGCTGACGGAACACCTCCGTAGCAGCAAATGGAACACATCCCTTAACATGCTGAAACCTTAGGGAAAACGTACGTTCTCTGCACTTTTGTCTCCCTATAGCTAATCCCAGGTACTATAGACGTGAGAAGATCTGCTTTCAAACCATAATGTTTCCTAGTACCCATTGTTTTATCTATTGTTATTATTTATTAATTAAAATAATTAAATAATTTGTTAAAATATTCTTGTAGCTTAATGGGGCTTGCCAGCCTGCATTAAAAACATTACAGTTTAAAGAAACAGACTAAAACTCCCCAAATAACCCCATACATTTTTGCCATTCAAAGCCCTGGCAAATAAAATGGCCCTGCAGTGTCTCGTAAAAATTTCTACCACTCGTTACACAACCGCCCGTTACACAAAAGAGGGAGCAACAAAAATTAAATCATTGTATAGCACTGTGTGTGATATAGCCAGGAGATCCTAGGATTGTCTGGCAGCGTGAAACTCAGCTCTTTTTAAGCATCATGCAGCGAGCTAGACTTATGGGGGTGGGGCTGGGAGAGCTGTGACTGACCCAAGGTCACCCAGCTTTGCTTCAAGTGGAGGAGGGTGGAATCAAACCTGGTTCTCCAGATTAAAGTCCATCACTCTTAACCATTACACTACGCTGGCTCCCTAGGGAGCAACAGTGGAGATGGTACAGTTACTGGGTGGTGCCAAGTAGACAGCCTTGAGGGGGGGGGGAACTGCCAGTAGGTGGCAGGCTGGGGGCTACAGGTGACACATGAGGATATATCAGAGGAAATGGTTCATGAGTCCTAGGCCATAGAAGCATTTATAAAAGTCATAACCAGCACTTTGAGTTGGACTCAGAAGCAAACTGACAGCCACTGCAGCTGTTTAAAGATAGACAAGCCCCCAACAATATTGAGGCTGCTGCATTATGAAACTGAATTTCTAGGCTGTCTTCAATGGCAACCAACACAGAACACACTATGGTAGTCCAACTGTGAACTACAAAAGTGTGACCAGACAAACTGAGTCTAAGAAGGGTGTGAGTTGGTGAACCAGATGCAATTGATAGGAGCCACTCTTGGCCACCAAACTACTTTTCAAACAGCAAGGCCGGATCCATGAGCACTCCAGAGCTCTTAACCTGCACTTCAGAAGCCAACTGCACTCCCTCCACAAGTGGATTCAGTCCATCCAAAAATGAAACTCTGTGCTAGCTCATCAGCACAACCCCAAAACCCAGTCCTTGCTCTTTCCATAAGATCAACAATTGTTTTTCAAGTCTTGCAGCATTTCACAGGTTCAGTGGGTCTTGTAGGGTTGCCAACTCAAGCTGAGGAAGTTCCTGGAGATTTGGGGGTGTTACCTGGGGAGGGCAGAGCTTGGGGGAGGGGATGGAGCTCAGCAGATGTGATGTCATTTCCTCCGGGGGAACTGATATCTGTAGTCTGGGGATCAGCTGTAATTCTGGGAGGACTCCAGCCCCCACCTGAAAGCTGGCGACCCTACCTGCCAGGCAAGGAGGGTCTAACTAGCAATGAGGTTAATCATTTATTTTTACATTTTTATTTTACTTGTTTTATGCCCTTTCTCCCCATTGAGGAGCCAATGCAGATTACATTGTTCTTTTCTCCTCCAGTTTATGCTTATGACAGTCCCGTAGGGTAGGTCAGGCTGAAAGTATGTGACTGGCCCGAGGTCATTCTGTAAGCTTCCATGGCAGGGTGGGGGTTCAAACCTGGGTCTCACGGAACCTAATCTGATGCTGTAACCATTACGTCACATTGATCTCTCAAATAAGAAGCAGTTTGAAACAACTGAAAAGCAGGGTGAACAGAGATCTTCTGATTCAATATGGAAATTAGTATATAGCAAAGGATCATGGGAAAGTGAATAGTAAAGAAAGGTAAATATCTGAAAGGAAAGAATCGTAGGTGATTGTATGCATTCTTGCTAGAGTTTGCAGTTGCATTGATGGGATTAGAGCGCTTTACTGGGGGATCATTGTGAAATGGATAATGTTGGCAGGTGAAAGAAAATTTATGTGGAATATATTCCTTTGTATAGTTTTTTTGATATTGTTAACAGCAAAT